TACTATACCTCCTATTTTCTTAATTATTTTCTATAACCTTGTGTTTTTACAGAGAGAATAATAATGGTGCACATTGTGGTTCAAGTAACATCAGGTAAGAGTTCATGATTCTTCAAATTTTTTTTTAGCTTTTTCGTTAGACTTATATTTATACACTAGCTTTTGCCCGCGACTTCGTCCGCGTTTTCGTCGATTTTCGTAAAAAAGTAGCATATGTCCTTCCTCAGGGTTCCGTGGTTTTGATGTGACAGACAGATTAACTTTCGTATTTTAGTAGGGAAATATAATATGTCAATCCACAATACTGTTAAAAATATCGCAATAAGGAACCGCAGAATATTATTATTATCACTGTACCCCGAGACCATCAGCGTGTAACTCCTTGTATGTTATTATCTTAATGTATTGGTAATATTGTTTAGATCGCTTTCACATGAGGCTTAAGTACTTATAGAATGAAAATACTTCAGTGCAAAGCTTCCCGGTAAACTACGTTGAAAGTTGACCCGTCGGGCACGTGAACATAAAAATTTCTAGGACTGCTAACCCGGGAAAGAGCGACATAACTGACCATGTGAAAAACAACTGACACCGAGATCTACTCCAGCAACACGAAAAGTCTGCCCTTGAGCCTTATTTATTGTCATTGCATAACACACCGATACTGGGAATTGCGTTCTTTAAATTGGAATGGAGAATTATTTGGTATTATGGGAATTCTGGGAATAAGGATGGTTTCTCCTGCACCGCAACCTGTTAAAATTTGAGCCTCGATTACATTTTGTTGCAACTGGGTTACTTTAAGCCGAGTTCCATTGCAAATTTGTCGTGGTCTTAAATTTCGGAGCAGAATAATCGGAATGCCAATTTTTAAACAAATTTCATGAGAAGGAAGTCCGGGCATATTTAAAGAATTTAAAAATTCTATCGGGTAATTAGTACTTTTGTGTTCATCGGCCATTCTATTTATTGAACTATAAACTTTGCTTTCCCCCTGGATATTCGACAGTATTTTATTATTAATCTCAGATGCCTGGTCATTGCGAGGAGTTAAAATGGACCTTTCGCATAGCCAAGAATTGTCCTTATTTAATATATTTGTTACGTCACCGTAAACTGACGATGTAAGATGTTGTTGGGATTGCACTATACAACATAACTCAGGCGTCAGAATAAGTTTTCTTTGGTGTAGCAGTGGATAGGTATCTTTGGTGAAGGTATTTTCTTTAATAATATATCAGAAAATTCACGATCATCCGGGTTATCTACAGTTCTCACTCGCATGTTTATAGTCAAATGCACCGTTTGTATATCACGCCACAAATAAGAGCTTTTCAGGCAAGCCCTAACCTCATCAGCTCGGGTTCCCCGTGGTATTACCGGTAAGGTTTGTCGGAAATCACCACAAAATAAAACTGTAAAATATCGCGCATTGGTCGATCATTTTGTCTTATATCCCTTAAAGTTTTGTCTACCGCTTCTACTCCTTTTCGATAGGCCATCGTACATTCATTCATCCCATATGATTAAATTACACTTTGAACGAATATTTAAACACTACCAAAACAACTAATACCTATTTTACAAAATAACGAACACAAAAGAACTAACAACAAAAGAAATTCAAATAAACTATTTAAAGACTAAAAGTCGCGCTGATAAGCACGGTTTCTCAATATTTCTCAATTATTGTCTGTCAATAAGGTCGAACGCTCTGAACGTATCAACAGCCAAATATTGAAGCTCGCTCGCTCTCTTTTTTTTTATTTTTTTTTGTTTCCTCCCAGGCAGGGGAGCAGGTGAGAAATCCTCATGGATACCCTACAGCCGGCTGCTAGGTTATGTCAGACTCGTACTGACTAAAAAACACCCGTAGGGGCTGCCTCTGGCCGGGAAGGCCTCTAAGGCTTCATCGGAAGCAATCGCCCCCAGGGGGGGGAGCGACGCAGAAAACAGATTTAGACAGCTCGCTCTCGGACCTCCCGCCTTTTGATACCCTACCGCCGCCGCGACCCGGGTCGAACGCGGCAACCGTTACACAAAAATAATCCTTATAGCATGATTCAGTATTCACGTGCGACGGCGCGATGGCTTATTTCATGTATAAGTTTGGTGTTTCTATACCGATTTCTATGTTTTGTTTTTATTGAATAGGTAATAATGTTAACTTTTTTAAATTAGGGATGAGTCAGAGTATTATAAACGTAAGAGTAAACAAATATGATCAGAATGCTCCGAACTGCTAAGCTATCGGGAGTTACACGTGTTACTGTGAGTCAACCATAAAAGATAGACATATGCTGTTGCGGGATATTTTTTAGACAATTTTATGTAGAATATTTCCGTCATACATGATTTCTATGTAACTTTAATCATTAAGGCTGCACACGCGACGGAAGCTTAAAAAATGGAGTAACTTCTCCCGTTTTCCCAACATTTCCCTTCATTACTCTGCTCCTATTGATTGTAGCGTGATGAAAAGTATACTATAACCTGCCCAGGAGTATGAAGAATAATTGTACCAAGTTTCGTTAAAATCCGTCGAGTAGTTTTTGTTTCTATAAGGAACATACACACACACAGACAGACAGACAGACAAAAAATTTACTGATTGCATTTTTGACATCAGTATCAATCAATAATCACCCCCTGATAGTTATTTTAAAAATATATTTCATGTACAGAATTGACATCTCTACAGATTTATTATAAGTATAGATTAGAACATGTCATGAGCAATAAATACATTTTCTAAAATAAAAATTGGTTCGAAAGGGCTAATCCCTAATTTATTGTTCCATCTCATCGCCCTGATGAATAGGGTAGTGTATTAGTAGTAGTTTTGATGAAGAAGGACGAGTGAATAATTCACTCGTCCTTCTTCATCAAAACTACTACTAAAACTATACTTCTGTGGAACGAACTCCCCCTAGCCATTAGAGTTTCCAACAAAATTTGTTTCATAACCAAATACATAATACAAATAAAGTAGAATAAGTATCTATATTGTAATGTGTTATATTTATTACTACATATTTATATTTTTTTGTCTTTCCACCTCAGTTGTGCACCCTACCACTAATTATCCATGACACCCTATGGTTGACTGGTAGAGAATGCCTTTGGTATTTAGTCTGCCTTTGTATGCTTGAGCATTAAGGATTTAAAAAAAAATGGATGCATGTAACTTATGTATGCGCGTGAGAACTTATACTTCTTTAGCATCATTAAAAATATTTTTTAATTGCATGCAAATAATTAATAAATTATTATAATAAAAGGACTGGAAAAGGATAATTAACACAGTCAATTAAGTTCAGTTTTAATTTGAAAAATTAAATAAATATTCAAAATATTCAATTAAAATCACTACTGAATTTAAGTTATTAGTCCATATGTAATTAGCACTTGTAAGTAACTAAAACACGTTGTGTCTATATAGGAACTAGAAACATGTGGATAAATATTATAAATATGAAAACAGTGATCAGAGGCGACGAGCGTGCCAACATTGTTTTTGACAATGCGATCATCTTATGGAGCTCCGTGGATCGTTCAAAGTACCTTTCGATCAGATGTCTAATAATGGTGGATTATTAACCCTAAGTGGTTAATAATCCACCATTATTAGACACTAACATTCATAACGCGCCCGCGGCCAACTTCATGGTGTTACTATTGTGTTACAGTGATGCGCGCGCATCTCGAAATTTCACTCACATGATTTTTTCATAACGCGCCCGCGGCCAACTTCATGCTGTTACTTTTGGGTTAGGGTGATGCGCGCGCATCTAAAAATTTCACTCTCATCATTTTTTCATAACGCGCCTAAAGAAGTATAACTTCAAAAAAATAGATGAAATAAAATATTTAGAAAATGTTTAAACAATGTATGTAATGATGTTACTTCTTTCAAATCCAAATTAGTATAACTTAATAATATGGTCAAACTCTGTAATTAGATTTTGTTTTGAAAATATAAAAGATATGTGGTTAAGTATCAAAATAAATATTATAAATATAAAAGACAATGAAGAATTATTGTAAACAGTCAGTGATACTTTATGAAATCTTAATTTGGCTCAGCTTTCCATTAGTTGTGGTTGAGTACCGAGCTGAGATTTTTGTCATGGAAAGTATTAATTATTAGGAATACGTACACAACATCTTTTTATACGGAAACAAATAGAACTCGAGAAAAAAAATATTGAAAATTAATATTTTTGTAGGTTAAATTGTTGCTGCCATTTTTTCATGCAGAAATAACACGTTTCTCATTGTCTGTGGTAAAAAATATGTTGATTATGTTGGTATTATTGCCAAAATGACATATGTCCCGCCGTTTTGTGGTTGTTTTAAGAAATGTCAGTCAGTCTGTTCGTTGGTAAAAAATATATTTGCTATTATTTAGTTGGTAAATAAGAAATAGTATGGGCTCCACACTTAGAAAAAAATGTAAATGTGGCTTTACAACAATCTTTAATTCAAAACCGACTTGGTCAACCCCGACATGCCATGGTCTTGGTCTGCCCTACCCCTAGAGTGTGTTTTAGAGCCCGGAGGCGCGTAGGGAGAGCAGCCCCGCCTGCTGTGACTTTGTCACGCAAAGGCGGTGGGGCTGCTATTCCCGCAGCGCCGGAGATAAGGCAGAACTACTGGTTCTTACTTCCCTAGTCCTTGCATCCTAAAAAATTTATGAATTTTTAAGTTACGTTAATTAAAAAAAAACATGCATTTCCGTCTAAAATCTTTAGTAGGGGGGGAGTCAGGGAGACCCCCTCCTTCCCCCACATCCAAACTACCCCGAAATTCCACCACAACTAATGGAAGTTAGTACCGCAATATTAAAAACAAATACATTTTCTGAAGACAAATAAAAATAATAATTCAAATCATTAACTTGTACCTATTACAATAATTATATTTGTAAGTGTTTTTAACCAACTTAGGGTTGGATTTATAATGTTTGCAATTTTTATTTAAATAAAACTATTGTATACCTGTACTAGTCGAACCAAATGCCCCAAATCCAGAAGAACTAGTGGAAGTTCCAAAACTAAAGCCAGCATTTGAAGTAGTTGCAGTATTTGTACTTCCAAAGGAAAAGGTTGCTAAAACAATTTAAAGCTTTTACTGATAATACTTAATATGAAAACCTATTTCTGAGGGGTAGGTAGGTGGTAACTTACGTTTTGCCGCCGAACCAAATGGAGTACTTTGAGATGTAGAATTAGATCCAAATGAAAAGGACATGATTATTTAAATTCAACTTAAATTTATTATAAAAAAAGATCATGCCTATAAACTTCAATTCATAAACACTTCGTAAATTGAAAATGACATCCAAACTAGGGACACGAAAAAAGTATCGATACTTTGTGGAATCGAGTACTTTTCCTTTCAATACCGATACTTTTGTACTCGATACTTTGTGTTCATTACTTTAAATGAGTACTTTTTGGCAAGTATCGACACCTTTAAAAATTTGGATAAGCGCCTCATATTGATGGCAACGCCATCTTATTAAATCATAGCAAACCTTCTAAAACGTTCCATAGGGTATTTGACAAGTTTTAGGCAACGATCTCACGTTATGGACTAATGTTTATGGAGTCCATAAAAAGTGGATATTCATCATTCTGTAGTGTATTTCAGTAAAAATAACCAAATCAAAAACTCCATTTTCAAGTTGCCGCGAAAACGTTTCTCTGGACAATATGGCGTCTTACTAGTGTGTGACGTCACACGACTGTTATTAAAAGTGAATCAATAGGTGCTTATTTTATTTACCACGCCACGTGAATAATTATAAATAAAGTCCTCTTACAAAAAAAAATAGACGCAGGTGAAATCGTGGGCAACAGCTAGTTATAAATAAACATCGAAAATAAGGAATAATATAATCGTCACATTAATTCTAAGAGGTGATTTTCAGGATTTAAGAGGTGGGCCCGAGATTCACATGCTCACAGTTTTTAGGTGTCAGGGCATATAGAACGATTGAAATCTTTGGGTACTACCTTTTTGTAAACTTAGTAACAATCTGTCCAGAACATGCTTTTTAAAAAATTCAAATGATCGACTGGATGTCAAGTTAGGAAATAACAAAACCTAAAATTATGTGAAGTGCTATTTATAGGATTATGACTATCATATTTGCTATTCTTGTCTTGTTAACGTTACCATTTCACATTAAAAATATCGTTAAATAACGTTATTTTATTTTGGTAATTAACGATAAACAACTTAGAGCATATAGATAGGTAACACCATGTTTCAGCAGGATAGGAGAGCAGATCGGTTTTTGCATGAGAAAACAACATAATGTTCCATATTCTGGGAGTTCGAGAACGATTCAAAATGGTAGCGGGCGTGCGTGAACTCTTAGAGCATATACCACTAGAGATGCCATAGCGTTCACCATTTTTGACGCGGGACGAGGTACACACGTATAGCGCACACTAATGAAAATATGCAATCCTCCCACAAACACGAGCGTGTTGTTGCAATAAACACACACTTTAAAATTTACGTCACACAAACAAAAAAACGCACATACGCTAAATTTTTTTAAGTATCTATGCAATTGTTCGAGCGTACGGGTACGGCCACAGTGCACCAAAGTTCAGAATCAGATTCAGACTCAGAAAACAGGCTCGTGAGATTTCAGCCTGAGGAAAGCAGGTGATGGCCACAGTGGAGGCAGAGATATGACACATGGGCATATTAAATATGCTCATGTAAAGTGAATTCACTTAAATTTTAAGTAGCTAAATAAATTCACTTTATAGTCCCTTCATTTTATTCCATACCCAATATCCTTCTGCACTCCTTTCTTTTGCTTATTAAAAGCAGTAGATCCTCAGCCTTTTACAAAAGTCATACATATTTATTTATCTTTGTATAAAGTACCAAAGCAAACTTTTTAAAATAAAAATGAGGTTTCTGGTTATTTTTCGATATAAACAATTAGACAATAGTCATTAAATAACAGACTCAAAATTTTTTTTTTCATTTTGTTGACTTGTGTTATTCACGTGTGTATCTATTTTCATAGGGTTATTATAAACCTCTGGTAAATGGAGACACTTCAGGCTGGCCGTAGCTAGTGAGCTAAATTTTTTGCGGTCGGTCTTACGTGGAATTCGTCGTGGGTCTGGTGGTTTAGTGTTCATGTGAAGGTTGAACCTAATCCATCTATGATCCGAGCAAGATGCTTCGTCGGATACATGCCAATTAGTGATGAATTGGGCAATTCTCTCACAAGTGAGGGTTAGGTCGATAATTGTCTGGGCCCTTGACGTTACAAAAGTGGGTTCAGAGCCTCTGTTGATAAATTTTAAATTTGTCGAGAGTAAGTACCTCACCAGAGGTGAGGAGTTTTCAACCCAAAGTGTGTGATGTGCGTTGGAGTCAGCAGCGATGATTATCTCCAGTCCTTCTTGCTCGCAGTGTGTCACCAGCCTTTCGAGCTCCGGCATAGGGATGTCAGCGTCGCCCGGACAGTAGGCTGACGCTATAATCACCTCGGGAAGGCTAGTGTGTCACTGAGGAGCCTGATTACAGTCAGGTCTCTGGAACAGAACTCGGTAATTAATACGGTTTTAACATGTTTAGGAGTAAAAATGCATGTTCGTGGTTTACTTACGGTGGTGTTCAGAAGTAGTTTGCCTCCGATGTTTGACAGATCACATATCCTCTCACCTCTTATTCCTGGATGAGGGCTATGGTCTCGGTGTTGGTCTCCAACACACGCCAAAGATTTGGCGTGGCTGTGCTGGAGATTCGTTTGGATGATTTTAAAGAGGGGGGCTGGGTTGTCGTTCGTCATTTTGACGACTCGAACATCCCGCTCTCTCATTCTCTTCTTTCGCCTTCTCCCCTTCAATCCACCAGTCTAAACGTCCAGTACCCTCCTCCTCCGTACTGGACTGTCGGGCCGGTGGCGAGTTATAGGCCGGTGTTGTTGCCGTCGTTGTCGCCGTCACTTTCGGTAGATTCGGCGTAGTGGCTGGTGGATGTGGCTCACTCGGTGTCGTGGTGGGTTTGTCAGTAGATCCCGTCAAGAAACGGACGTAGATCGACCCGAGCTTGTAGGCTACGCGTCGGTCTCTTGCCAGGAGTTTGGCTACATCATCCTGGGGAATACCCACCAGTATGAATTGCTCCTCCTTCTCCTCCGTCTTCACGGCATAGTACAGGGCCCACTGGTTTACGTTGTACCACGGGTTTTGGGCGGCCAGCCTTAGCCTTAGTTGGCCAGGGCTTTCGCCCTTATAGCGTGGTACGATGATAGAGGCCTTCATCCTCTTAGGGATTTCGGATTGACGTTTAACCGTCAACACGGTTCCCGAGAGGGGAGGCCGGATGGTCTGGACTGTTTGGCACAGCCATTCCAGCGAAAAGTCGTCCTCGCACCATAGTTTGAGGACGCCTTCCGACCAAAAGGCTTTGCCACGGAAAGCAGGTGAACGAGTCGCCGTGGTGGATGGCTTGTAGATCTGTTCATCCAGGGCGTCTTCAATGTCCTCCTCGATCTTGATAGCCTGTGCCTCGGTTAGGTCCTGGAAAGGCTCCATCATTACGGCGACGCAGAGGTCATTGACCTTCAATGCGTAATTCTCTGGGTGAGATGGTGTCGTCGGGACGTCCTAGCTTTGCTGGTTTGGAGCTGGACTTCTTTGGCCGATTGTTTCTGGACAGTCCCGACCGTTTGCCACGGGGTCGTGTCAGTTCGCTGCTCGAGAGCGCATCGTAAGTGCTTTTTCAACAGGTTCCGCACCAGCGGGCCGGTTTGCACCAGTCACACTAGCGGATTCCTTATTTACTCCGGCAGCGTGAGTCCTTGCGGGCTCTTCAGCGGCCTCTGGCTGCTTACTCCCTCCAACCCCTGACGCGCGCATCTGTCTCGCCATAAAGCGCGCTTTCGCGCGGCGTTTATTACGGGCTTCCTTCGCCGATGGTACATCAGCTAAGGGCGCCCTCGGCGGTGGCAGTGATCTGTTGGTGGTTTTCACGGGCGGTTTGAAAGAGTCCTTTCTACTTCGGACCTCCACACTCCAGGACTCAGCCCCTTTCGGGGCAACATCAGGGATTGCAGCACCGATAGCAGACAGGTCCATGATCTTCCGCCTCGTGACGGTGTTTGTGTCACTGTGTATAGCCTGCGCATCTGAAGATGCAGCGGGCTTTGGCGCATCCGAAGATGCGACCATGTGTGGGTGTTGGTGTTTAGCCTGCGCTTCCGAAGATGCAGCGGGCTTTGGCGCATCCGAGGATGCTGCCGTGTTTGGGTGTGTAGCCTGCGCTTCCGAAGATGCAGCGGGCTTGGTGGTTTGTTTATATGTTTAAAGTTTGAGATATCCATATGTGTTGGTTGTTTGTCTTTATTCCCAGCGGCTCTCCACCCTCCCTGGAGCCCGCAAAGTGGGGACGTTGCACACAATGTCGAATGCAGACGCCAGAGATACCCTGGGAATATAGGTCTCCAGCCCCGTGGGTTGACATCCGGTGACCAGTCTTGGTTGTCCACACTGTCGTATGGATCCGCGACCGGGCCAAACGCTCCCAGCGGTTCAGAGACCTCGTCTGACTTCCTTTTAACGGGAAGGTCATAGCCGATTGACCCTGGTTGGCTAGTTCCAAGGCCTCCCGTTTAGGAAGAAATCAGGGCCGAAGAGGTGTGTTACTGTGGTGGTTACCTACAGCTCAACCTCCAGGTTCCCTTCATCCCTCCGCACGAGTCTCCACGCACGGCAAACACGCGGGTGGTCAGTTGAAACCTGCCATCCTGGTTTTTTGGATGACCGGCCCATGTCAGCGTGACCACAAACGTCGATTATGTTATGAAGATGCGTCAGGTAGTTTCGGTTGCATTGCTCATCAAAAGGATGAGCAATCTATGACCAGTGTGTGTTACCAGTGATGACTTATGGGACTGAGACGTGGTCTCTGAATTTCGGCCTCATAACAAAACTCAGAGTCGCGCAGCGTGCTATGGAGAGGGCTAAGCTCGGTGTTTCCCTACGTGATAATATCCGAAATACGGAGATCTGTAAAAGGACCGGTGTGTACGACATAGCCCGAAGAGTTAGCACGCTGAAGTGGCAATGGGCAGACCACATCGCTCGAAGATCTGACAACCGTTGGGTAAGAAAAGTCCTCGAGTGGTGACCACGTACCGGACGACGCAGCGTGGGGCGGCCCCCAACAAGGTGGACTGACGACATCGTCAAATGTGCTGGGAGCCGCTGGATTCGGATAGCGCAGGACCGCGCATGGCATTCTATGGGGGAGGCCTATGTCCAGCAGTGGACGAAGAAAGGCTGATGGATGGATGGATGGATAAAGTTAAAAATAATTATCTAATCTTCCCGTTTTTATCACAGTCCCAATTTTATAATTAAAGGCGTGTTACATTACATTTTGATGGTATAATTAAGAACATTTAGCACCGCATTAAGATGTTACATCTATTTATAAAATTAGGACTGTGATAAAAACGGGAAGATTTGATAGTTTTGTTAGTTTTGATTGATT